AAAAAAAAAAAAAAAAAAAAAAAAAATACATACCTAACAGACGAATCGAGTTGGATAACACAATTTTTCATCCGAGATAATCCGTCGGATTGCCAATTTTGTTGATTGTCCGGATAAAACGAAATAAAATAATCTATCTCGATAACGTTCAACAATGATTATAGGTTAGCGGTATAGAACGCGGTAATGACTTTACCAATGTAACGCCCGCAAACGCTGCGTTTACGCGGAGGTCGAATTAAAGCGTTCGCGTAGCGACTGTACATTACTATTATCGGTGGCGCCGAATTGGTTTTTTGAAATGGTCCGGTCAATTACAGTAATAGTAGTCCTAATCGCGGCCTACCTATTTAGGTGTAAACGGGACGACCGAGGGGGGCGCTCCGTCTTCCGTGTCCCTCCTCCCCTCCAATAAACATTTGTCAATGTCAATCAAAATCTCTCGTAGTTTTAGAAAATAGTTTTGATTTTTATTACTTCATCGTTTTTATTGCACATTTCCAGGACACATTTATCGATTTTCGCGTGCTGTAATATCGGGTCCTTAGCTCTTAAAAATCACGATTGTTTGAATTATTCCGTACTAAAAACATAGCACACGAGAATATTAAATATAACATTACTGTTGTAGTGTGTATTATTACCATAAACAGTAATGGGCAAGGAAGAGCAAGGAATTTCATACATTTTCATACTTTTTCCAGTTAACTTTATCGTATACTTAGCAAGTACACAATACATTTTAAAACGTCTGTGATCAATTTTTTGGTGTTCGTTTCGACATTCTTGGGTTTAAATGACACAATATAATCTTTTGACTACAAGAGCGTATTTTAAGTTTGCAGTGCATATATTGACGGATTACCGAAAATTTAAGCATTTCGGCGAGTATTTTTCATGAACCTAGGTCAAGAATTATCATATTAAATCGTGTTTTTGTCATGAAAACAATAGACACTCATTTTTATCCCAACCGCCAGTGGGTAGATTGAATTACAATGTTGTAATATCAAATTATTTATTATTTCTATTTTTGTATTACGAATAGTACTTGGTACAAAAATTATTTAGATACATTAGGTAGATAATTTTTTTTTTTTATTAGGGACATATTTAACTGCATATTTGATGATTTTTTTTTTTTTTTAGCGCATGGAAGTCCCCATGTTCTAGTAATAAAATTTATTGTCAAAGCCGGAACAAATCGTAAAATATTGCTAC